CGCCTCGCCCGGTGATTCATCATGAAAGCACAAAAGTCCTCTGACAGGCTTGAAGCGACATAATTTAGACTGACCTGGTTAAAACTTCTTATACCAAAGCTCTAAAATAAATCCCAGCTTGATTAAAATTATGTTTAGCTTTGTGTTTACGTACACAAACACCACAGAGTGGCCATTTATGGACTAAATAATGGATATAAATATTAGCACCACCTCTCATAATAATCCAGTGCATTTTAACTGGCCATAAAGCTGAAGTGACACAAGCCTACACTAGTTTAAATACAACTAAACTATATATTTTTAAAAAGCAGCTAGCTTTCAGTGCATATTTGTGCAGACAGAGCCTGCAATAGATCCTTAGAGTTTCAAAACATAACGCATTTTCTTGCTTAAAAGCTCATTTGCAGGTGTAATAATTCCATGTCCTTGATGAGAGCAGTGACATATGTAACACAAACTAAAGTTACTAATCAATGACGGGGGGGAGAAAGAAAATAAGAAAGCTACGTTGCTCCTGCTGCTTGGACTTGCTGTCATGATTGTGTCGTATGGCTGAGGATGTGTGGGTCCACAGTATGAAAGTGGTTGATGCTTGTAAGACTGGGAGATAGCAGAAAGGGGTGAGGGGGGGGTGGGTGAAGTGGGTCTGTTTGGGCATTTAGCACTTTATGAGCCTGATTTCTTCTCCACCTGTTTCATTGCTACATACCTGTCCATAGTTGTCTATCCCAGTCACTAATCTATTGAGATTGAGTAAATCAAAAGCGTTCCTCAAGGATTGGCCAATAGTTGTGAGTCCAGTTGCTTGGAGGTTCCTCAACTCTGTCATGAATGTGGCATGGCTCTCTTTCCATCCAGCCTTTATATAAAAAAAAAACAAAAACAAACCCAAACAAACACAACATAGCAGCTGGTTAATAACATGCACAAAGCTAAATAACTACCCCACTGTTGTGACCAGCAGGCAACTTCTAAGGAAACTAGTGGTTAACTTCAGTGGTTTTATTGAGAGTCTGAGCTAATAAATATCTAAATAGGTCGCTTCCTCTCTATCTGCACAGACTAATAATTTGACAGCACTGCAGCCACAGGACGTTGATCCGTTTCTACCAGGCTGCTGCGCTCGGCTCCAGATCAGAAAATTGCAAAGTAGCAAAGTCGCAATGTGTGCAGTGACTAAAGTGGCAATTTGGTCTAAAGAAGTAAAGTAGGCTAGTCTGTCATCCCCGCTTCTCCTCCTCCTCCTCTACTCTCCCTCCCTCCTAGATATCACCTCGCTGTATAAATAACACCCAGAGTTCCTTGCTGCTCACATTGAAACAAAATGTCGGCCATGTTTTAAAAGGGGTATGAAAGCTCCTCCTGAAGATTTTTCTCTACACAGTTGATGTAGTGATCACAACGTGGTACAGCGATGGAAGGACAGTCAATCTGCGCAATGTAAAGCCGGACATGACCCGAAAACAAACTCTACCTTTATCCCGAACGGAACATCTTCAAAATTTACCAACATATACCGGTCCCCTCGGCTCGCCGGATCTCTCCCTCTGAGCTGTGGAAATAGTAGAGAATTATTTACGGTTATCGAGAGATCAGCTTTGACAGGCGAGCTTGCAACAGCAAAACGATGAACTGAACTGCATTCCCGCTCGGGATCTCTCAATATTAATGTGTCCCGTGGTTACAGTACCTTCATAAAAGTCTCAACAGCGCCTTTTGCTATGTCCAGATAGGTAGTGCCCAGATGGGTGCGCTGGTTCATTGAAGCGGACGTGTCTATCAGAAAAAGTAAAACGGGCATTGTGATGGTAATGACACGTTCTGCATGGACTTGGTGTCAGTACAACCGGCCAAAACGGAAAAAAATCTTTTGTTCTCCTGCCGCCTGTATCACCTCTCAGCTAGCTAGCTAGCTGGCTAACTGTCTGTCTCACACATTCTTTCAAAAAAGTGTAAGAATAGTGAGTGTAGAAGCCCTTTCCGGGCGAACTAAACTAAAAACCTCAAACCCTAGGGGCAGGTTATGGATTCACGAGGGATTTTGATAATTTTTACAATATTTTGTAAATATTCCTAAGTTTCATAGTAACAAAGTTCCCCCTCACAGTGAGTCCCTGCTTCTCCCTACACTGAATGCGCTGTGTCTTGTCCACTGGTTTTAACCTAAGCTCCGCGCCTGACCCCGCCTCCCAAGCGGTCTTGCAGTGTCACGTGTATATACACTCTCTTCTTATTGGCGGTCTCAGGCTCCTCATTACCATATCCAAATAAGGCCAAAGCAGACCGTCTCATGCGCATGCTTGCTTGCCCGAGAGGCAGGAATGCAAGGAAAATATTCTGTACATACATTGTGTGATAAAGAATACAGCATATGTGGCGATGCACTCTTTTATCGGAGCCTTACCGCAGTTTATTGAGGTGATGTTATTCAGGAACAGGCATGTGTCTGCTCTTAGATCTGATTACATAATCAACATTTACTTCATCCTATGCGCGGGCGTGGGCTAGTGTGAAAGACAACCCTTCAAGACTATAGAGAGAGAACTGGAGGCACTATCATATAAAAACAACTGTAAAATATCAACCAAGGAATGCACCTAGGGCAAACAGAAACTACTCGCGGGTGTTATGGCACTCAGTTTTCATGTGATGACCAAATAAAGACTCCCCTTTTCTCTGAAGGAAAACAGGTTTAGCTGAATAGTCGCTGGGATTGACATGCGCGCACACGCACTCACACACCCTGCAGCTCTGAAATGTCTGTACTTTGTCTTTATTTTCCATAGCCAAAGAACGACATACTTGCTGGTAAAAGGAAGGAAAAAGACACAGAAACAATCAAACAAACACAAAGAGAGATGTCGCTAATAAGAATCACACTTCTATTGTTGCTATTGTTGATCTGTAGTTATGTGAGATAATGCCTCAACTGTTACTGCACAGAGAATATCATCAAACGTGCTACACATAAGCCTTTTGACAGATTAGAGTTCACTCTTAATGCTACATGACACCCAGCCACACGCGCACGATTGTGCAATACAATTTACATAATGTAGTTGACTGGAAAATATCATCACTTCCGCAAAAACAAGACGAAACCATCCGGTGGCTTGCGATAGCAAAGCGGAGGAACGTCTGTGTGCTTCTTATTTGATGTGAAGCAACACGCGCGCGCGCGCACACACACACAATTTAACTTCCGGTGTGTCACTGACGTTTTTCACAATAAAATCTTTCATGTGGCTTGGCGATCTTAACGACGAAACTGTGCAAGGTGTGATAAACTGTAGTTGCAGCTGCAATAACATTTATTGCCATTATAAACCAGCTATTTATTGCAGCTTGCACAGCAGCACAGTAACTGGTTAAGCACCAATCTGAGACACTTCTGTTCTGTTTGGGCCTCTCTGACTTTGTTATTTGACGGATTAATTTACTTTCCACAGATTCATTCATTCATTCTTCCTCTTTCACAATTAAGAGACCCAATTTAACAAGCAAAACACTCAACTATCTTGTGACTGATGCAGGTTTAACTGACGCAACTTTCTTTTTGTCATCCCACTATTGCAGTGTTTTTTCATTTGCTCAAAGATTATGTAACTAAAAATGTATTAAGTGTACACTTAAAACACACATTATTGTTCAACTGTTATATTACAGGTTTTACTGCTTCTCCGAAACAGTTTCACAGACTTATATATTATATGTAACACATTCTTGTGTTGGTTGATTTTAGCACAAAGCGTCATTTCCAAACATAATGGATATTGATTATTAGGGTAGTGGTAATTCTCCACTTATTAAAGTCTCTCTCCCCCCCCCCCCCTCCATAGTTTGTAGTTTTACTGTGAAAGTCAGAACCGGAAATGCTACATTTTACTATGAAGGAATCTTGATCACAATCTATGGTGAGTCAAGAACATATGTGAAGTTACTTGGACAAGCCAAACACAAATTTCCGGTCCATGTCTGAGCTGCTTCATACAGGAAGTTGTTGCTCTATTAGTATTAGTGCTGCATGTTAAAATCCAAAAGCATCGCCTTAGATAGTTAGATATACGATTATCATTATTATTATCATTGACATTATTATTAAATGCAATGGAAATGTGGTATAGCCTTCCACTCAATAGATTTTAGAAAGTTGTAGATTTAGTGTTATGAGTATTTTCTGAGGTTCAAATAAACGACCTATAATTGCATTTTTGATCTAGGCAGTCCTGCAGATCTTTCCTGGAAAGTAAGTGGTTCGTGAAAAAAGTAATGTTGGTAGAGTTTTTCTCCTCTGAAGTTATCAGTGACCCAACTATTAATCTGGTTTTATTTCTAAAGTCCAGTTCAGTCATCAAGATTAGCTCTACTCATGTCCAAACTGGCTATTTATAGTAACCAATAACATTATACATATACTACCATATCTATGGCGTATAAAAAAATACGAAACTAGTTTGAAAAAAGTTGCATTATGGAAAATAATGCGACTAATAATAAAGTATAGCTCACCCTGAGCCAATACCGGTGTCTAAAAGTCGGGATAACGTCTTTTGTCGACCTCACTGTGGCACCCCTTTAATAAAGACATTTGTCACATTTTATAAACCTTTGGTAAAGGGAAATTGACATGTCATAATTTGCACTTTTTAACATAACAGTATTTGCTCTATATATTTCATCACGGCCAATTAAAACTGATTTATTTGCTCTTTTTGCTTCAAAATGATTAACTCTTTCTTGTATGGCAGACGTTGTAGTAGTGTAGCCACACTTTGCAGAGGGCCTCATTAGAAAACGTTTTGTTGATATTATTTTATTATTTTTGCTTACAAGACTTGAGATATTGTCATCGTATCGTTTTATATTTTAATAAAAGCATATCTATCTAATATCTATGATATTTTGTTGTGAAAATCCAAAAGCGGAACTCAACTAAGGACTTTTATTTTGTTCAAAGGAAGTGCTGTATGTGTAGGAGTGTAGGTGGCGTATCTGTTGTCAGCTGACTGGCACCGCCTCTGCCCGCCGTCACAACAGAGAGCTGCCTGCCTGACAGCTAGCTAGCAGCCGAGGTCCTGCTGTCGGACCGCCGTGTGTTATGTTTCTCGGAGCCAGGACCGTAGTCGGAGGTTTGTGCACCACCAGCTCATGGCGGCTGAAATTCAGCCTCAACCTCAGGCTCGGAAGCCTTGCCTCCTGAGCAAAATCGATGCTTTCCAGGAGGTGGTGAGCACAGCGGTGATAATTCCCAAAGAAGACGGCGTTATCAGCGTGTCTGAAGACAGGTAAGCTGCGCTCTGCACGCTGGCTAAAGCACAAATTAACCCCCAGAAATAACATTCGACACAAGAATGCCACTTAATCTGCTGCTATTGATTGGACTCATTGAGTGGACCCCCACCCCCGTGTCATGTAACGTTTCCAAACATGTTGAAACAGTCCAAGGGTTCAATAACATTTTTACAAAAGTGTCAGCTGACACAGTCACACCATTACATGCTAGTTAACGGCTGTAAATTATACTCTTTTTGTGTTAGCTCCAAGCCAGTAACACGTAGTTTAGTTGTGCTAACGTTAGCTAGACATAACTAAAAAAAGACCCAGCGTAAACACTGGTGTTATTAGAGTGTTTCTCGCATATTATGGCACCAGGAGTTGCTATATATAACAGAATGTCTCAGCTTTGAGGCATTAAAGCTGCTGTAGTCTGTTTTGGGGTACCAAGAGTGTGCGTCTATCCCACTTAGATCTATGTGAGGGTGATGGTGAGCCTGTGTATGCTGAGGCGGCATGTTCTGAAATGTCCTTGTAACTTATTGCACCAATTGCAAATTTAGTCCTATATGCCACCTAAGCTATATGATGCATATCCCTGATCCATGGCGACTTACCTATTGTAGTCCTAGATGGCTATTTACTGGGGTGTTTAAGCAGGGGATATGCTTAAAATAAGATATATGGAATTTGCTAGAACAAACCGCGTTTAAGTACCCACCAAAATGGAAAAGGAGGTGGTGAAATAGAAGCGTCTTAAGTCTTTGTGCCAGTGGCCATGCGGATTTGCGAGGGAAATGAGCCTTTCAGTGGATTCTGTGATTGAGTTTAAAGCACAGATGATTTTATTCCCATTACATTTCACCCCTAAAGAGAACAGTGAAGAATAATTGCTGTAAATTGAAGTGTTGAGTGGTGTAGTAAAAATTCAAAGTACATCAGTGAGTTGATTGTCAGTCATCTCAGAACTCGGGCTGTTGTTCAGCGTCACAGGAGAAAGTTTTTACCTGCATTCACAGCAGAGACAAAA